ATCCTCATGTACTAAAGTTTGTTCTGGAGTTCCGCAAGGTTCTGTGCTCGGACCAATCCTATTCACTCTATATATGCTTCCATTAGGTAACATCATTAGAAATCACTCTGTAAATTTCCATTGTCATGCGGATGATACACAATTGTATTCATGGACCGCGGAACGCGGGGGAACGTTGCGGAGCACTTTTTTTATTCCGATGCCACACGAACACATGCTTGCTCAGATTAACCCCTCTGATCCCACTCTAACATTCACACACAACAGGCCAAGCCTATTTACACATAAACGCACAGATGAAACTATAGCAAACAACAAAGTACATCCAGTCCACAACCACAACCAAAACTCATCTTGCTGCCTTGAATCTAAATCAACATCATATTCATTATCATCACAAGTCAGCACTCATATCAGACTGATGTGCAGAGCCGCCCGCACACACACACACACACACACACACACACACACACCCAACAACAAAACAAGTGCAGCTGCGCAGTTACTGAAAAGTAACCAGAACGCTGAATTTCTGACCATTACCGCCTGCAACCGCAATGTGTATGTCCACTCCCGCCCACTCCCGCAAAACTCTGAGAATTTATGCCCGCACAATAATAGAGATGCATTGATTTTGTGTCTTCTCCCGTCCCGCAGGAGAAAACACGTAATTTTCTAGGCTATTAATAAAGAGATTCATGGGGTTGTTTGTTTCGTTTCTCTGATCTGCATGTCTTTTGACGCACTGGTCAGGAATAGCGCTCCTACTCGACTAGCTCGGCGCCGGTGAAACACAATAAGCTGCACATCTTCTTTCATGTTTGTCTCATGACAGATGGAGCTGACAGACAGACAGACAGAGGTGGAGCAAGCAGGAAATTGGTATGAAAGCTGGTTCAGGGCATACTCGTCCATTTATGAATAAATATGGAGTGGAAACGCTCATGCATGTGCACTAAGTTCCTGTGTTGACATCCTGTCGCTAGGCTACATCTTCTTCTTCTTTTTCTTCTTCTTCTACTGTTTAATGGGGACCCGCGGGACCCGGCGGGACCCAATCCCAATGCAGCCCTCTATGTCAGAGTACAAAAGTTACCCGGGCCATGGCCCCCCCGGTTCCGTGGTCTATGATTGTATTCATTGATAAAGCCAGAAGAAACTGATCAATTAACTAAACTTCAAAAATGACATGAAACATAAAAACCTGGATGAGCACCAATTACCTGATGTTAAATTCAGACAAAACTGAAGTTTTTATTTTTATTTTTTATTTATTTAGCACAATTAAAAACACAAGAGCAATTACAAACAACAAAAGAGAAGTGCAAGGTAGAGACAGGAGACCCGAAAGGGCCTATACGAAGTCTCTACTCAAGGGTACTAAATTGCAAACTAACACAAAAAACTTACAGAAAAGACTGAAGAAAATATAGAAGAAAAATAAACAAAAAATAAACAACAAATGAACAATAACTTAATTGAAGACATATTATTATGAAAAATGATCTACAGAAGTAAAACGAAAACATGACAAAGATAAAATTAAAGGAACCATTATATCGAAAATCATTGTCTTCATTAGACTTTTCAATGGGGTGGAAAGCTAAATGATCAGGATATTCCTGACACAGACCAATGCTGTTTTCTGTCATGTTTTAAAGAAAAAGAAAAAAAAAAACGGAAAAAATACATTTGAAACAGATTATCCTACCATAAATAGCTGAGTCCAAGAGCATGGATAAACCAGGGGGATGGTTAACACTAATTCCGGTTCGTTCCGGATTGAGTGTCACTGGTCCCATGTTGTTCTGGAGTAGATGCAATGTAAGCTTTGTTGTTATGCGGCTGATTGAAGTTGTTCTGTCTCCGCTGGCCCAGTGCATTGACAATAAGGCGATCATACCTCAGGTAGGCGATGTCACCGCGTTCCCGTGCGGCTCGCATTGCAGGTAGTAGCTCTTTCCTTTTTTGTCGCACGGCCTCTGAAAAGTCTTCATTAATGTATATTCCAGTCCCTTTCAGCTTCTTTGCGTTTTCCATGACTGATGTTTTGTCCTTGAATTTAAGGAATTTGACCACCACTGGCCTGGATCTGTTGCGGTCAGCATCGGGTTTTCCTGTCCGGTGCGCCCGTTCTATAAGTTATTCAAGTTATTGTTCTTGGCCCCAAACAATTCAGAGACTCTTTATCTGATGATATAGTTTCTCTAGATGGCATTGCTCTGGCCTCTAGCACTACCATAAGAAACTTCGGAGTAATATTTGACCAAGATTTGTCTTTCAATTCTCATTTAAAACAAACCTCACGGACTGCATTTTTTCATCTGCGTAATATTGAGAAAATTAGGCCTATCCTGACCCGAAAAGATGCAGAAAAATTGGTCCACGCTTTTGTTACCTCTAGGCTGGATTACCGTAACTCCCTATTATCTGGTAGCTCTAATAAGTCTTTAAAAACTCTCCAGCTAATTCAGAATGCAGCAGCACGTGTACTAACAGGAACTAAGAAACAAGATCATATTTCTCCTGTTTTAGCTTCTCTGCACTGGCTCCCTGTAAAATCCAGAATTGAATCTAAAATCCTTCTCCTAACGTACAAAGCTTTAAATGGTCAGGCTCCGTCATTTCTTAGAGAGCTCATAGTGCCTTATTATCCCACCAGAACACTGCGCTCTGAGAATGCAGAGTTACTCGTGGTCCCTAAAGTCTCCAAAAGTAAGAGCCAGAGCCTTCAGCTATCAGGCTCCTCTCCTGTGGAATCATCTTCCTGTTGCAGTCCGGGACTAGACTTAAGACTTTCCTTTTTGATAAAGCTTATAGTTAGGGCTGGCTCAGGCTTGCCTTGCACCAGCCCCTAGTTAGGCTGACTTAGGCCTAGTCTGCCAGGGGACCTCCTATAATACACCAAGCACCTTCTCTCCTCCTCTCACTCTCTCTCTCCCTTGCTAACACTCATGTCCTGTTACTGCATCTCGCTAACTTTGCCGTACTGCATGTCACTAACTCGGCTTCTTCTCCGGAGCCTTTGTGCTCCACTGTCTCGCAGGTTAACTTATATCGCAGCGGTGCCTGGATAGTGTGTGGTTGTGCTGCTGCCATGATCCTGCCTGATGCCTCCTGCTGCTGTTATCATTAGTCATACTTCTACTGTTATTATACACATATGATTATTGTCACATATGTACACTATCAGATATTAATATATACTTTCAACGTATTGTACCACAATAGCCGTAATTATTATTATAATATTATTACTTTAATTAATCTCTTTCTGTCTCATTGTGTCATACGGATTACTATTAATTTATCATGTTGATCTGTTCTGTATGACATCTATTGCACGTCTGTCCATCCTGGAAGAGGGATCCCTCATCCGCTGCGAGGGTCCTAAGGACAGAGGGATGTCGTATGTTGTAAAGCCCTCTGAGGCAAATTGTGATTTGTGATATTGGGCTTTATAAATAAAATTGATTGATTGATTGAAAAAGCCCTTTAAGGTACGTGGTCCTTAGGGAGCTCCCCACTTCCTCTCAGGAAGTTCCCAGAGGTGTTTGGTCCAAAAACACTTATTGTCATCTGATACCTTGTATTCATTAAAATATTGACTATAGCAACTTTAAAGGAAAAAGTGCTACAAGTCCAACACTGTTCAGACAATATAGCCTAGATGTGAACACAAGTGGACAGTCTGCGTTTCAACCTCACAACACAATGAAAATGTCACTGTCCTAATACTTTCTGAGAACGCTGCAGATTCCAGGAAAATAAAAGAAGATACATCATCACAAAATAACTGCCTGAAATTAGTTTGACAGAGAAATAGGACAGTTTTTGCTTGAATCTGCATTAACTTTCTTTCTGATGACATTACAGAGAGGTGGACCATTGTCATGAGTAAGCACAGTCAGTTTCCACGACCTGCAGCATCTCATGCTGTTGCTTAATCATATGGTTTGATGAGCAACTTAAGACAAAGTGTCAGAGGCAGTGATCATTTTCTCATCAGGATCAGGCTTCACTTCTCTCAGCAGCCAAGCATTTGGACCTGCTCGCATGTCTCACGTCTCACGTCTCACGTCTGTTAGGCTTTCTAGGCTACGTGCTGCAATTCTAACAGAAGTCATTTTCAAAGGCACTTTCACTCAGATGGTAGAGGGAGAAGAGGAAGCAGCAACCCTCCCCTTTTGTTGTTGGGAGATGGGGGTGGTTGGCCTGAAGCTTGAGCTTCACAATGGATGTTTGTCTGAACTCATAAAGCAAAAGATGTTTCATCCTTTGTGTGTGTGTGTAAACATAGGCATAAATGGGGACCTATGCCTTCAGTACATGACTCTCTGAGCCTGGGTGGGGACAGGAATGATGAATCCTACAGACATGACAGCTCATTATGATGGATTCTTAATTAACTCTTGTAAAGTATATCTAACATTCCAATAATAAATTGACTGCTGATCAAACTTGTATACAGCTTGTAAAAAATTCTTTCTTACAAAATAGATAAAATAGAAAATATAAATTAAATCAAGTTAAAAACCACCAACTTCAAGTTCAGTAATTTGTGGTTTCAGGCAAAGTTATGTTTTGGAAATTTTCTAAAGCTCTAATTATGAAATAATTAACTAACATGTTTTATCTTGTCTGTACACAAACAGAGATGTAAAGAAAGTTTCTTTAAAGGACTACTTTGTGGGATCTGGGATTCAATTTTAAACTTATTAAAATCATCATCATTATAAATAAATCATATTTTTATTGCTGTTGTATATCATTATTATTATTATTATTATTATTGATATTATTATTGTTAATGACATGGTACAATTTCTTCTTACAAACATTTTATTTAACCAGATTATAGTGACAGTCGAAAGACATGCATGTTAGGTTGATTGGTGACACTAAATTGCAGGTGTGAATATGAGAGTGACAGCCCTGTGATAGTCTGGTGACCTGTCCAAGGCATACTCGGCATCTCACCGAATGTCAGCTGACGCTGCTGTTTTCTCGATGGTGTCTAATGCTGGAAGTCACTGACCAACATGAAGATGACTTCTGAGACCGGGTTGAAGTAGTAGTAAAATTCTCAATCAACAGCGCCTTTACCTATCATGTTTGTTGAGCAGATAAACTCAAGCAACGTTACCCACATTTACATGGTCTCCCACTGAGCTCCTTCTCCAAGGCTCAGCCACACATCCTTACTGGATCAGACAATCCATTCCTCATTACAGCTGTAGGGAGAGTCCAACATGGTCCAAAGGGAGCACCAGCTGCAGTGAGGACGAGGCTTGGATGGGCTCTACAGGGACCTACTTATCTTGGTGAGCCTTCTGATTCTGCCCAATGCCTATTTACATCACACGCCAACCCCTATACTGAGCTCAAACACCACGTGGAGCAATTGTGGCAAGTTGACACCCTTCCCTTCAAAAATGAAAAGTTGATCACAAGATTAAAGCAAGATAAGGAGGCCATGGACCTCTTGAACACAAAGACCACCTGATTAAATGTTGATGGAACTGAACATTATGCCACCCCTCTGTTAAGAAAGAAAGCTGCACCTTTGCTCAATGCCCCATTTGACTCAGTAATGCCCCTTCTCCACCAATCCGAGCACCAACTTGAGAAAAACTCTGACATGTGTAACTGACATCTACAATAACAAGATCAGCAAACTAAAGCAGGGTTGTTACATTGCAGAACTCAGTGCCCAACAAATTTCTGAGTCCCAAGAATCATGGTATATTCCCCATAACTTCGTGGAGCATAACGATAAATATTGTGTTGTATTCAACTGCTCCTTCACTTATCAAGGCCAAATACTTAATGACCAGCTCCTCCCAGGCCTGACTTTAGGCCCATCACTAATTAAGTTGAAACTGTTCTCGAGCCATTCTATGTAGACAACTGCCTAAGATCACTCCCCTGCCCCCGTGAGGCAAAGGAACTCCTTCTGAAGACAAGAGCCCTGTTATCCTCTGGTGGATTTGAAATTAGGCAATGGGCCAGTAACATCCCGTCAGTTGTTGATCATCAACCATCAGCTGCCAGATCAGACAGTGCTGAACTCTGGCTCAATCAAAACCGGACAGATCCTGTAGAGGGTGCTCTGGGGTTAAGCTGGCATTGTGTCGCTGATACCATAGGCTATAGACACAGACCTGTCTTCTACCAAACTCTAACCATGAAAAATGTGTATAAAGTGCTGGCCTCACAATATGACCCCTTAGGATATCCTATCCCATTCACCACTCAAACAGAGTTCCTGCTCCAGCAGCTTTGGGTGAACAACAAGCAGTGGGATCAGCCAGGGGCGTTGTTTCAGCAAAAGCTAAGGTATGGCAATATGACATGACGTCACAGAACTACTGATGATGGAGTTTCAAAAATATGAACTTCACTTTGGTCTTTGACCTGTCAGAAGTACATACTATGCTATTGAAAACTGTTTCAAAGGACATGAAGCTGTTTCTCACATTCATAATACCTCATGTCTGCATGTAATGCACGACTTGGTGAGAGCAGTGAAAACATTGAACCTATTTCGGCGCGTATTTCAGCACCACGGACAGCGAGCGGACGTTTAATTATCATTAGTCATGTGTTTAACTTCACAGAAAATAAAGAAATTACAAGCTCATTTTTAGAAGATAACCAAGGGATCCGGTGTATGAAACACAGTAAAACAAAGGCCAATTTGGTACAATACTGTATAGGCGACTTTATTGGAGTGTCTCCAGAAACCAAAAATACAAGCTTAACATGCCGACATGAAGAAAAAACCCCCACATACAATCAGACAGGCTTCAAGACATCATTTAGACAGGCTGTCTACAGCAGCAGAGCAAACTGTTTTTACAACACACAGATAACTCACATAACTCACATAACTCATAACTCGGAGGAGCGAAGTGGCGAACAATTTGATTCAATAACACACTTATTCACTAACAGTCGTATTCACTGATGAGCATATTATTGACCTATTTAAGTGCAATACAATGAAAACAACCAGCCTGTGCGCCTCGAACTATCTAACATATCACATCTGATCACTTGCAACAAATATGAAGGACACTCACAAGTAAGATGACTACAGAACCTCTCTCTTTTTTTTCTCCCGATTCCAAGGTATGGCAGCTGCCATACCTCGCCATGCCTAAATGATGCCTATGGGATCAGCCTACCTTCTGGTGACCTGAAACATGCATGGAATGAGTGGAAGAGTGAACTCCCAAACCTGGCTCACATCACCCTCCCCAGGTGGTATGATGGTGACAACACCCACACTTCTTGCAACGTAACAGACAGAGAATTGCACATTTTCTGTTGTAATAATGTAATTGTAATGGCCAGATCACGTGTAGCACCTCTAAAGCAACTAACTATACCCCGCTTAGAGTTATCTGCAGCCCTAACTGGAGCCCAGCTAAGAAACCTAATCAAATCTGAACTGACAGTCCCCATTGACAGAGCCTTTCTGTGGTCTGATTCCACTGTAGTGCTAACATGACTTCACTCAGAGTGCTGCAGGTATAAGCCCTTTGTAGCCAACAGAATGGTGGAGATTAAAAAGATGAAAAAACTAGCGTGCTCTGTGCCGGTTATGTGTGTGTGTGTGTGTGTGTGTGTGTGTGTGTGTGTGTGTGTGTTTGTTTGTGTTTGTGTCTATATGAGGTGTTCTTGGGGTGTTCTTGTGCAGTCAACTTATAGTGTTGGGTGCTTCCGGTTGAAAAATAAGATAAAATAAAATGCAGATTTCTAAATAAAGTTTTTCCAGTGATGGTAGTGAAGGGAAAAACATGGGGGAAAAAGGTATGTGTGTATGTATATGTTTATGTATGAATGTAGTGTATTTTATGGAAATGGACTGTAGTCAATCTGTTCATTTAAGCCTGGGAATTCCATGGCATCAAATTTGAAAATCCAAAAAGTTTCCCTCTTAAAGCCGCTACAGGGAACTTTTAACTGGATATGCAAAAGTCTCTCGTTTCTGCTGATGTCTGTGCATGACCTACAACAGCAAATGAGACCATTGGTGTGAAGATAAGCTATTTCTATATAGTGTATATCCATACCTTGAGGAAACTGTCTCTGGGTCCGCCCCAGGTCGCTTCCAGGACGAAATGATTTACGGCACTCAGACGGCACACGTCATCTTACCTAGCTGCTTACATTTATAGTGACTCTTATAAATAGTCGCTATTCCTCCTCCTCGACCTGACGTCTGCAGGGAGTTAAATTAGCGGCAATCATCGGGTAATAGTTCTGTGAAAGCACTGGACTCACCAACAGTCAGCCACGTCTCAGTCACACAGAGAAAATCCAATCCTCGGGAAGTCAGGAAATCCTTCAGGATAAACGTTTTGTTCACTAGCGATCTAGCATTTACCAGCCCAATCCTGGCAGGAGCCGGCGGGTCCATGGCGTTAGCTGTCCGGGGAGCCACACACAGAGGCCGCAGGTTGCACAGATTCACCCCGCGCCAACGGGGACAAGGAGAGCAGGGGCCGCGGGGCTGGAACACCTCGTCCGGGCCAACGACAGGTAGCAGCCAGGCGTCGACAGGGTCCAGCGAGTGCCAAGAAATAAAGAGGCGAGGCACTGCTCCATACTCAGTCCAAGAAGCCGTGGAAGTGCTCGCCAAACAGGCCATTAGCCTTTCCAGCCGACCGCTGCGTTTACCCCGGCGGCGGTGGCGCTTACGCTGGAGAGGTGAAGCTAAGGCGCGGCAGAGGTGAGCTGTGATCCCCAATAAGAGCGGGGGCAAAGTTTTCCCGTCTTGTTGTTTCATTCATCTCCAAAACAAACACATGCGCGAGCCAGGTAAGCGTCTTTACGACAATACGCGCTAGAGCTCATGGGAAATGTAGGCTTCATTCCGGCAAAACACTACTGCTTTTGTCCACAGGGTTGCCAAAATCAACTCAAAATTAAAGTTCCTTGTAGGACTAGAAAAACATCTGGAACAGAAAATTAAGCAACTCATAGACAATTTTTGATTCAACTCAAATACGATGATTTCGAAAATAGCAATAATCCAAGCAAATATTTAGCTAGTAAATTACAACATAAAAAAGAGAAAGCAATAATTCCAACCATAAAAAAACTCAACAGGTGAAACTACCCAAAACCCACAAGAAATAAATAACATTTTTCAGACATTTTACACTAGCCTATATTCTTCAAATACAGACCCTGACCCATCAGAGATACAACTGTTCTTTAATAACCTGGACACAGACTTAAAAATCATTACAAAAGCTCTAGCCATTAGATTAGAAACAGTTATCTCCACCTTAATACACCCCGATCAGACAGGTTTTATTAAAAAAAGACATGGTTCTGGCAATATACAAATTAATCGGTAACACTTTATATTAAGGTACTGTAATAAGCGTTAATTAATGCTTAATAAGCACCAATTAACCAGTTAATGAGCACTTATAAGACGGTATAAGATGCTTATTAACATTAATAAGACTGGACTAAGCGTTTATTACAGCATAACTGACTGAGTTATTATTGCTTATAGGAGCATTATAAGCATTTAATAGAAACTTTGGTATCAGTTTATAAACCTATATTAAATATTAATAAGATGTCTATTTAAATTAATTAGAATTTATAATTTATAAGGGTTAATTATAGAATAATAACCACATTTATTACAGGTTTATAAGACACTGTAAGACCCTATAAGATGAAATTAATAAGGTGTTTATTAACATTAATGAGACTATAAGAAGTTAATATAAATGCCATATTACCGTTAATAAATGCTTAATTATGCACTTATTAATAGCAAATAATGATCCTTTGCAGCTACCGGATCTAAAGTGGGAACAGTGTAGTATAAAGGTTAATAAACAATTAATATGCACTTATTAACAGCTCATAATGCATCTTTGCAGCTACTGTTATTATTTTCTTTAGCAAGGGATCATGGGAATCTCATTTCCTCAAAATGGCATACTAAGACAAACATGAGTTATTTGAACTTAAACATTTGAGCAGATTGATTGAGAGTTAGCTGCTTTATTCACTCGTGATGAGAATTCAGCTTACCAACGGTGGTGAAAACGCAACATAAAGACATATTTCCTTTTCATATTGATTTTTAATGCAACCACTATTGTCAAAAACAGGAAAAAAGGATTGGAAACCCTAATAGTTGAGTTCTAAAATAAATGACAGATCTGAGTTCATTTCGCTTTTTCAAAAGTTTTGTTACTTAGATTGACTGTTCGGGAATACAGTGTTCCACAAAGCTCCCTGTAACCCATCAGTTTTCTGAAAGTGAGTGACAAAAGTCTCAACATTGGCCAGGCCAAAGGTGGCCAGGTCAGTGATGTCTTCAGGCCAGTTGCTTAGGTCAAACATGGTGGCAGCAGCCTTCAAGACACCCATATCAAGATTGCCCAACTGCGTGGTGAGGTTGTCACAGAAGCCATTGATTAGTTTATCTTTCATCATCCCTTTTTTTCATCATCATCCACTTGTTTCCTGTTGAGTTTTACACCAGAGAAGGTGTTTCCGGGAAAAGGTCCCACTTCATCCAGGAACTGCTTCAGATACTGACCTGGGACTGTCTGAAATACAGAAGAAAAAAACTTTTACTGTCACAATTGCTAAACATACACCGTAGCATATTAATTCCTCTCTAGGGAGTTTATTTTGTTTACCTTCATGGCTACAAGAGCCAGGGTCATCTTCTGCAGTCCATCTGACAACATCTGCAATGTCAGCCCATCCCTCTGAAAGAGAAGGCTCAGAATTAAACCCATAAACACATTTAATCTAACTTCCCTTGTTTTTAATCCACAGCCTAGTACTCAATTACTCTCACAATGGTTTCACAAGAGTGATAATAAAACACTTACACACTGGGCCTGATACAAACTTCAATTGCCAGAATGTATGAAATACTCCTTTAACCATACTGACGGAGAGGAATGAAGTCAGTCTATGGCATTAGCAAATCAGCAGGAGTTAGCATGAACATGATGCAGCCTATTAGCGACGCACTTAGCTACTGAAGCCATTTCTAGCGGCACCCTCCACGACCCGCGACACACACACACACACTCAGACACAGACTCTCTTAATCGCGGTCAAAGTCAATGTCTGCTGTCCACACCAACGTGGGTATTTATAAAACCGTGACTCTTTTCTCATGGTTTGGCCTGTCATCCACACGTAACCGCAGTTTTGGGCCCCTGTAACCGGAGTTATTTGTAACTGGAGTCCAGGGTGAACTTTCTGGAAAATTCCGGTGTCAGCAGTCATGTGTGGACAGGATAACCGCAGTTATTTTGTCTCATCTCCATTGTATGTGGAGTGTGCGACGTGAACAGAAAACAGCTGTGTTACTACCCGATCCAGTGTGTGCGAGAGACGATTTGAGGATGGACCTAAACAAAGTACTCCTGCTATTTAGCAGCATATCAGCACTTTGTGGCTGTATCATACAACTAACGCTACTCAACCACATCCAGCAACAGAGGCGCAAGAGTGTACTATTACGGAGACTGTTCCTGCTGCATAATAGTACACTTGTTGTTGTTTTTCCGGTAATGACGTTTTACTGCCTTCTGATTGGCTACAATGGCTTTACAGTTAAGGCCATCATGTACATGATTAACTGAGTTGCTAGTGTTAGCAATCGCAAAGAACTAGAACTAGCTAAAAATCAACAAGCCAACATTAGCCTATAGCCTACTTTAACAAAGTAACTTACCACAGGGGCAGAAACAGATGAAACATTGTCATCAGAGTCCCGAAGCCAAATGTCGCATCCTACTCCAGCTGGAGCGGCACTGGAGGGGCTTGCATCAGTTGTTTCAACCATCTCAGCATTGCTAGGTTCTGTGCTCTGGTGAGGAGTGGCGAGCATAGCTGGAGAGTGGCACCCAGCGTGACCGTCATGCAGTGAGTTGAGTTCCATTTGTGCATGCGTGTGTGTGGAGCCAGATCAGGTGCAGCAAAAGCCACTGTATTTTTGCTGTTCATAAGTTTTTATTGAAATTATTCAAGCGACAAAAGCGATGTTTAGATACCCATATGTAATGACATTGTAAATAACACCCATTTCGATATTGCGTTGA